TCTTCTGTATTTCCTTTTCCTTTCCTCTTTCTTGCTTCCTTTTCTTTCCTAGCCTGGGCCAGTAGGCCTACTGCAGCTCTCTGCCACCTTGGGCACAGTTGTTAGTGTTGAAATACTTCAGTTTCCCACCACCTCGAAATGCAATTTACTCTCATTACTCTTCTTACTAGTACTTCCTGGCTTGGGCCAGTTTACCTCCTGCAGTGCTTCTGTATGCTATATTACTATACTCTTGCGTTTTTCACTTCTTCTACACTCTCTGCTATTACTTCTATCACTACTGCTACTACCTCATTACTATATCACTACTACTACCTGTACCGATACTGCTAATTCTACGACTGGTACTACTACGTATACTCCCTTTCTCCCCCTTCCCCCGTATCGCAGTGTCTTCTGGTCTTCTCTACTTTTTCTCGTCTCGGTTGTCACTTGACAATGGCCCTGGCAATGGCACCTGGGGGGTTTCGGGGGTCATCGCCCCCGAGGCCTGGTCCATGACCAGGCCTCGTGATGGACCAAGGCTTGATCAACCAGGCTATTACTGCCGGCTGCACGCAAACCGACGTACGAATCAGTCCGGCTGGTCTGGTACTGACTTTTGATGCCTGTCCAGCCAGGGGTCTGTTGGTAATCCCCATAATGTATGCTGGGAGGCAGTCGAACAGTCTTGGGCCCCTGACACATATCGCGTTGTTTCTTAGTGTACTCTTAGCCCCTGCTTTTCATGGAGGGGGGGGGTGAAGCGGGCATGTTGCACCATCTACCGTGTCTGATTTTCAGGGTTAGCTCTGTATGGAGAAAGTTTAATAAGTTTAGCAGTTCCTACGTCCACATCATGATAACTCAGGTTGCATCTTTTCGGAACATCCGAAAATATGTCAGGAAATGTTTGCTTTCGTGGGGAGTGATTTGCATGTGATCATGATATCTTTATTTCTACAAGTACATGTCAGCTAGGAATATATACCTTGTACATCAGTGACATACTCGTATATAGAAAGCCCATGGTATTCAGAGCATTTCGGGCAAATTAGGTCACTTTTGTCTCAGGATGCGATGCACCTCAGTCTAGTAACACTCAAGTACCCATTTTACTGATGGGTGAACAAGGGCAGCTGGTGTCTTATGGAAACACGTCCTAATGTTCTCTAGCCGTACTGGGAGATCGATCCCCGGACCTCAGTGTGTGAGCTGTTTGTGCTAGTGATCGAGCTACCGCATGTGCAGATTTGGGACTAGACCTAGGATTTTCCAAGTGTATATTATGATGTATCTTTCTCGCCTGCGTTCCAAGAAGTATAGGTCAAGGTTTGTCGACGTTTCGCCCTCGTACAAAGCACTACAGATGCTCAATTTTAATTCTAACATATTTCCGGTCTGACAATCATTTTTTTCAAATGTACCTATCAGTTTTGTCAAATTACAGTATGGCTTTACCCTGTTTGTATCTCTACCCAGGTATTTACCTCTAAATTTAAAAAAAAAAATATGTAACGGATTGTTTATATATATATATATATATATATATATATATATATATATATATATATATATATATATATATATATATATATATATATATATATATATATTATATATATATATATAATATATATATATATATGTCGTGCCGAATATGTAAAACTGGTCAATTAGCAAGAACTCATTTAAAATTAAGTCCTTTCTAAAATTTTCTCTTATACGTTTAAAGATATATTTTTTTCATTAGTGTTGATGTAAAAATTTATAATTTTGCACCAAAAGGAACTTAGAAAACTTACCTAACCTTATAATAACAAGCGCAATTTATTTTAGCCTAACCCAACTAAATATATTTTAGATTTGTTTACAATAATTTAATATTAAACAAACACAGGGAAATATATTTTTTTCGTTAGGTTCAGAATGATTTTGGCGAAATTAATGCATACAGAAATTTTCGCTTGTCCTATATGGCAAGATGAGCGTTGCTATTTAAGCCAAGATCGCAAGTTCTGCCTATTCGGCACGACATATATATATATTATATATATATATATATATATATATATATATATATATATATATATATATATATATATATATATATATATATATATATATATATATATATATATATATATTTATATATTTATATATAAATAAAACGTTTGGAAGCTCTGTATGGACAACGGTCCCACTCAAGATGCCCTCAATATGTCGTGTACTATCGGCGATAATTCACCTACTTGAAACTACTTTTACTGTCACTACAAGTACTGTTGTCGATATTATGAAAGCCCAACCAGTTTTTGCACGAGAGACTGAAACCTGACCTACCAATATATGCTGAATGGTACACTGTAACACCTCTTGATAGTGGACAACTGAGAATGTTCGGGGAGATGGCTGTCCCATTGTTTACATTCTTTCCGTTCTTGCGAGAAAATAAAACCACACCAGCGTAACGACGCTATTTTGATTAGTTTATCTTAATTGCAAAGGTACAATATTTGTTGAAAAAAATTGTAAAGAGCTTGCCTGTCTATATAAAGTAATATGCTGATGAGAAGGGGCGAGACAACGTTTGGTAATTGTTTTGTCAGGTTGTGTTGAGTGAGGTGGAGGAGCCTGATTGTG